AAAGGAGTTTGGATGATCGACGTGACTCATCATACATTGGACCATGTCTAACAAGGTTCAATTTCTTCTCTCATATACACCATTCCATTATGGTGTTCTTGGAGGAGTGAGTTGGGATAGAATCCCACATTCCTTTAGATGGTCATTAAAATCTAGGCTTAAATATTCGTCGCCTCGATTTGATTGAAGAACTTTAATATTCTTATCTAGTTAGTTTTGTACTTCATTCTTAAATTCCTCGAACTTTTCAAAGGTTTCAGATTTGTGTTTCATTAAATACACATAACCATATCTGCTGAAATCATCAGTAAATGTGATGAAGTATTGAAAACCTCCTCTGGCTGGTATGTTCAGTGGTTCATATACATCAGTATGTGTGAGGGCCAAAAGATCGTTAGCCCTTTCACCTTTTCCTATGAATGGGGACTTTGTCATCTTTCCAATTAAAAAATACCTGCATGTTTCATATGATTCATAATCAAAAGAGTCCAAGAGTCCATCTTTATGGAGTTTGGAAATGCATTTCTAATTTATGTGGCCTAAGCGACAATGCCAAAGGTAACTTGGATTTATCTCATTAGGTTTAATCCTTTTAGTATAGATGTTATAAATTGGTATTTCAAGATCAAGGACATATAGTCCATTGTTCATTTGGGCAGAAGCATAAAATATATCATTCAAGTAAATGGAGCAACAATTGTTCTTTATTATGAATGAAAAACCAAAATTCTCCAAACAAGAAACATAAATAATATTCCTGCTAATTACAGGTACATAATAACAGTTCTCTCACTGATTTATTAAACCACTAGGTAAAGTCAAAACATAAGTTCCTACGGCTAAAGCGGTAACCTTTGCTCCATTGCTAACTCATAGGTCAACTTCACCTTTTGCCAAATCTCCACTCCTTTTTAGCCCCTGGACATTGGTACAAATGTGAGAACAACATCCAGTTTCTAATACCCATGTTGCAGAAGTAGATAAATTAATTTCTATAACAAAAATACCTGAATTTGAAGTCTCTACTCCATTCTTCTTATCTTCCAGGTACTTTGGGCAGTTTCTCTTCTGTTGTCTGGTCTTACCGCAATGGAATCAAGTACCCTCTTTTGTTATTCCTCCACTAGGCTTCAAAGCAGGAACAATAGGTTTAGGTTGGGCAACTTCCTTGCCTTTCCCTTTACCAACCTGCTTGGTGGGCCTTTTGTTCAGCTTTTTTCCATTACTGACCATCAGAATGGACTTCCCTTTTGACTTCACATTTTGCTCAACAGTTCTTAATATGTTTAGCAACTTTGGATGACTTTTGTGCATGTCATTCATGTTGAAATTCAAGACAAATTGATTGAATCTTTCTGGAAACGATTTCAAGACCAAATCAGTTACAAGTTCCTTTCTAAGGGGAAACCCTAACCTTTCAAAGGTCTCCACATACTCAATCATCTTGAGTACATGGGGACCTACAGGGGTTCCCTTATCTAACTTGCTATTATAAAGGGCCTTTGAAATCTGAAACCTCTCATTTCTTGCCTGCTCTTGATAGAGCATCTTCAGATTTCCGATCATATTGAACGCTGGCATGTTCTCATGCTGCTTTTGCAACTCTGAGTTCATGGTAGCTAGCATAAGGCAAGCAGTTTCATTGGCATCATTGACATGCTTCGTATAAGCATCTCTTTCTGCCTTAGGTGCAGAACTAGGAGGTTCCACTTCAGTAACAGGTGTCTCCAAGATATACAACTTCTAATCATGCTTGAGGACAATCCTCAGATTTCGGTGCCAATCCAGAAAATTTGTCCGAGACAACTTTTTCTTATCAAGGATTGATCGCAAAATGTTGTTAGAGGTGTTGTCGTCATGGTAATCTACAAGAAAAATATGAAAATATAAGTATCACTAAAACAACATATTAAATTAGGCCTTTAATCAAATATGCTCCCACTATTTTACTCAAAACAAATGACCCTCATCATTTGATTCAGAAAATCCCGTTGGAATATTTTCTAGTGGGTCGAGATCCACATTTCACTTTGTTTTAAGTCAGTGTTAGGCTAATTACACAAAACTAGGTTATTTAGGTAGGAACTCCTTCCAATTGTATCTCATACAATTCTCGAATATTTTTAGTTGGGAGAATAACTCCTTGTTTTAATCCATCATATGAATCATTCCCAATTATTGCTTCTAAACATGTATAATCTTATTATAATTTGTTTAGTTAAGTTTGACCCAGTATTTTAGAAATTGGATATTACATTTATCCCATCGCACCTTACTAATATAGAACATGCACCTCGCGTTAGGCGAAACCTACATTATTTGATACTAGTCTTGACGAGTACTAAAACTTGGAAAGCATAAACTTAATATTCCTTTTGAGGGAATTTGATATTAGTTTGATCTCACTGGCTTAACATGCAAATCGTCTCTCACATGAATCAACATATAAACTCATGTATCAACATAGATATAAAAGGATGCAGTTATAGCCCCTAGCGCAATTGTTCTCCCAAGTCAATGAGAGAACCTAAGCTAACCTAATAACGATCTAAACTTCTCCAAGATAGATCTCCATGGTTGTCTTCCTTTAATCTTGTCTTCTTGATTTTATTAATTACATTACATTATATTATATAAAAGAATACTCGTTTTACATACGAGAGAATGAGATGAGAAAAGTATTTACATAGAGAGATTAAGGGAAAGGCACGACACACAGGTCGTATTTTAAAATTCCAAAAACAAAATAAACGAATCTAAGGCCATAATCGATCACCACAAGATAACAATAATAAATACTTTATTATTATTATTATTATTATTATTATTATTAATTTAAATTATGTTAATTAAAAAAGTTAAATTAAATTTCGGCGATTGATGACACTACGCAGAGTTAGCCGAGGGTTCCGCTTCCCGGTCAGCGGACGGTGGTTCTGCTGACCGTTCAATGGGCGGGGGTCAAGGGGGAAGCGCATCCTCGCCCGGTTGTTAGGGGAATTTCCCCGATGCAAAATTTTAATGAATGATTCATTTGAAATCAGCGTCATTTTTCGCACAACTCTGTGTTGTTACAACCCTAATCCGTATAACTCTCTTACAACACAACCCTTGTGCCGTCATGAACCCTAATTCAAATAATTTCATACCGTCAAACACAACTCAATTGATAATTCAGTATAATCGATCAATATGCCATTGCTTCATCATACTAACGTCGGATTCCAAAGCGAATGACAATGATCTTTCAAAAGAATAACAATCATTCTGTGATTGAATAGAAGAAACCAAAACAGTATATCCAATATACCATCTTTGCATCAGAATTGTTTATATCATATATAAATTTGATCGATCATATTAGTGTAACTTATGGACGACCGCTGTATCGCTGCTTCACCATACTAGTGTCGGATTCTGAAGCATAGTCAACATCGATTAGCCCAAACCGTACACACCATGGTGCCAAAATTAAACTTACTCGGTTATTATTCAGTTCATTCTGTGTTTTAATCCGATTAGTGCATAACGTACAAAAAATAAACAACTATCAGATCAATGGTTTCGTAAGTGGCTTTGATACCACTGAAGGAAAATTGTGATCCAAAATGAATCAGAAAATTAAAATTTTCCTTTAGTGATCCTTACGAATGGGCATGGTTAGTGATAGAAATCATTACCTCTTGTGATGATTCAAACATTTGATGTTTTAATCACGAACGTTGATGAATAACAACGTCTCTACTCAGTCTACACAAACATATCACTTCCAGACAGAGTGCTAGCTGCTTACGAATGGAAACTTTGAGTGAGAGAATGAGACAAAATATACGGCTAGAAATCAAGACCAAATTTTCATAAAAAACAAATGCTTCAGCACAAAGGTTCTATTTATAGAACCACTTATGTGGGTTGCAATCTAAAAGTCCAATTAAGGTTGTAAGCTAAAAGCCCAATTAAGCATACGAGTATCATACTTTATGATATATCGCATATCACTTAAGCGTGTGGTACCTTACCACATTCCATATTTCACTTAAGTGAACTGTACCTTACGGTGTTCCTTATTTACTCTATCTATCATCAACCTATCCTTATGTGTGTGACCCTTTGGTTTTTGTGACGTTGACAATTATATTAAATTACACATTTAACATAATAAGCAGTGAGCGGTATCTAGCAACACATCACTGCTACCCAAGTCACGAAAATATCATGTGATCTGACAAAACCTTTATGTCATAATATTTGTGTGTACAATTACCCTTTTTCTCTTATGTATATATTGAACACAAGGCATAAACCGTGTCACCCTTGTCCAGTTCAATATTGGACCCTTAGACATTTATCCTGTTATGCAGGATGGACAAATTTCATCTAGGTCACTCATGTCCCTCAGCATGCTTTGTGAAGTACTCATCAACTGTCTTTATGGTCATCTAGTTACGGATAACGTTTGATCAACAATAAAGTACTTAACTCCACATGTAAGGTCTATAGTGGTTTCAGGTTGAAGGGTGGTATACACCATTATCACCATGAGAATAACTTATGACACCTTGCATAACATTCTATGCAGTATTCTCATAACGGGTCAATCTAGTATAAATATTACTCCTAATCACTACGCCAAAAATGATTTTTTGTATCACCTAATTTAATAGCACTTTTAAAAAAATGCTATTAAAATGGAAAAAACACATTTATAATAGCACTTTTTAATCGGGCGCTATTATATAATACAGACTATGTAATTTTGATAGCACTTTGTACCAAAACGCTATTATTAAACTTCTTTAAGATAGCATTTTGTATAAAACGCTATTATTTGACTACCTATATAATAGCATTTATTAAAAAGCGCTATGTTATATATAATAATGAATTAATTAATTAATTGATAAAAAAAAACATTGGTATTATTGGTATAAATTGGGGATTTGGCGCACAGAAGAGAAGAGAAAAAGAAGAAGAAGTTTGGAAAGTGAAAATCGAAAAGAATGGACGATTACACGAGAGAGATGATGGACCTCAAAACCCTCGTGACTCGCACTCTTGAGAAGAAAGGCGTTCTCGCTAGGATCCGAGTATTTCATTGTTCTTCTCCCTTTTCTTCATTTTTAGGGTTTTCTTATTCAGATCCATAATTTTCAATTCTTCTTCATGTTTCAGGCTGAATTAAGAGCTAGTGTCATCCCTTTAAAAGCTCAAGTTCCTCCTTGTGACGTCTTTTCCAAAAAAGTAATGTCCAATTTTTTGGGTAGCAGGAAGGTCACATCTCCTGATTATATCGATTATCGAATTAAAAGAGCAAAATGCTTACCACAATTTAAGAATATGGCTATTAGAGGACTTCAAGGAAATCTGATTGTTTCCAATGGTGCTATTGTGGGTCCTGATAGCTTAAATGGATCAGCTCATGTTGATTATCCATCTGGAGAGGCCGGATTTGGAGTCGGCGGCAATGGGAAGTTAGTGAATGGGAATACTTCTAGTTCTGGTATCACAACAGTTAACGGATTTAGTCAAGGGGAATTGCATTACACGAGTAATGCCGATGTCTCCGGTATTGTAAATAATGATAATGTCACAACTAAAACTCAAATTGTTGAAGATGGTACAGTTAAGGCTCAGTTAAGTTTACATGATGAAGAATTGAGAACCATTGAAGGCGATATGTGTGCGTCGTCAACGGGAGTTGTAAGGGTGCAGTCAAGAAAAAAAGCAGAGATGTTCTTGGTTCGAACAGATGGATTTTCTTGTACCAGAGAAAAGGTCACTGAATCTTCTTTGGCTTTCACTCATCCTAGCACCCAGCAACAAATGCTTATGTGGAAGTCTACACCAAAGAATGTGCTATTATTAAAAAAACTGGGGGATGAACTTTTGGAAGAAGCAAAAATGGTAATGATTTTCTTTGACTCTAATTAATGTATACATTATAATTTTTTACATATTTTTCTTCTTTCTATTATATAGAATACTTTGCAATTGTATAATTATGTTGCAAATATATATATGATAGTTTTGTATAGGTTCTCATTCTCAATCCAGTTTCTATATCTAATCTGCAGGAAGCTATCGAAGAAGAAGATCGTGTCATCGAAAAGGATCAAGCTCTGCTTCCTGCATTGTTAGGTAGCTGTAACGATCGTGCTAAACAGCTTCACGCTTCTCCTTCTGGTAATTCACCTTTTTCATACTCATTTTCTGTTTATGCTCTATAATTATGTTTTTTTTACCTAATTAGAATGTAATTTTGAGTTTGAATTACTTTAATTCAGTTATTTGCTACTATATATTCTCACACCTTTGTTGTATCCGATCCGACCTGTGCATTTTCATTCGCCTATTCTATTCTGCCTAATATGACTTATGTGTATTTATGTTTGGAGATGCTCCATTTTGAAATGTTTCTTTTTTGGTATTCACTATGCAGGTAGACTTCTTACTGCACTGGTATGTGAATACCTTGACTGGGCACAGCTTATTTGGCGTAGTGTAGGGACGCCATTCACCGCTACTACTGAAGCCGGTACTTCATCAGCTTCAAGCTCAGATCCTGGAACTTCACCGTTCTGTATTCCAGAGATGAATGGTGAGACGAAGAGATAAGAAACCATTAAGGAAAGTCATGAACTTTGTGATACATCAGACACAGAAAGTGAAAGTCTGTCGACATCTTCGGCTAGCTTTAGATACCAACCGTGGATCACAGAATTGCTTTTACATCAACAATCATCTCAACGCAACGGAGAAAGATCAGAGGCGTATCATGGTATGCCTCAGGCAACTACAACCAAGGCTTTGCTAGAAAAGTATTCTAGGCTTGATAGAGGAGCTGGAATGGAAATGTCGGCAGCATATAGAAATGACTCGGATTTTAGTGGTAATTTAAGAGAAGCGATAGCATTATCAGGAAATGCTCCACTTGGTCCACCTCCATTGTGTTCGATATGTCAACACAAGGCACCTGTTTTTGGAAAACCTCCAAGGTGGTTCAACTATGCTGAGTTGGAACTCGCTACCGGGGGATTTTCACAAGCCAACTTCTTGGCAGAAGGAGGGTATGGATCGGTTCATCGAGGGGTTCTACCAGAAGGACAAGTCATTGCTGTCAAGCAACATAAATTGGCTAGTTCTCAAGGTGATGTCGAGTTTTGCTCTGAAGTAGAAGTCCTGAGCTGTGCTCAGCACCGAAATGTTGTTATGCTGATTGGATTCTGTATAGAGGATAAGAGAAGGCTTCTGGTTTACGAGTACATATGCAATGGATCATTGGATTCACATTTATATGGTAGTTGCAATATAATATTGAATTCATGGAACTAATACCATTTTGATTCTATATTGATCTAATACTTTGTAACATTTCAGGGCGACAAAGAGATCCATTAGAATGGTCTGCGAGGCAGAAAATTGCTGTTGGAGCTGCTCGCGGGTTAAGGTATCTTCACGAAGAGTGCAGAGTTGGTTGTATCATCCACCGCGACATGAGGCCGAACAACATTCTCATAACTCATGATTTTGAACCTCTGGTAGGGTAGTTCTTTGCCTTCATTTCTTACAACAAAAGACACCATTATCATTACTTCATTATTGCATAGTTCTTTGCACATTTCAAATTCTAACTGTATTGAATTGTGCTGAAATATGCAAGGTTGGTGATTTTGGATTGGCAAGGTGGCAACCTGATGGAGACATGGGTGTGGATACTAGAGTAATTGGAACATTTGGGTACGCTTTATATTGATCTTGATTCTGTTTCATTGTTTCATTGTCAAACATGTGTATGCGATAGGAGATTAAAACCAAGAATGTAGTGTTGTCTAACTTTTGTCTATAATCACTCATTTTTAATTTAGTATATCAATTTTTACACTTGATAAGTGCTCTGTGAGATATACTAATTTTATGTTCTGTTTTGTAACTGTGATATGTCCTATAACTTATAGCATGTCTATGTCATGTTGTATTATCATGCTTCTTAGATTGTAACTAAGTTGTTGTATGTGTAGGTATTTGGCTCCTGAATATGCTCAAAGCGGCCAAATCACCGAAAAAGCCGATGTTTATTCCTTTGGGGTGGTATTGGTGGAGCTTGTTACCGGTAGAAAAGCTGTCGATCTCACTCGGCCAAAGGGACAACAGTGCCTAACTGAGTGGGTAAGTTAAGATTTCAGTGTGATATAGGTTCTCTTTGGATAAATAACCTAAGTATGCCGTTAATGTTCATGCTTAACCTTGAATAATTGTATAAATATTTTAACATTAAACAGGCCCGGCCACTGTTAGAAGAATATGCCATTGACGAACTGATTGACCCGAGACTTGGACGTCTCTATTTAGAACATGAAGTCTATTGCATGTTGCATGCTGCTTCATTATGCATAAGGAGAGATCCTCATTGTAGACCACGCATGTCACAGGTAAACAAAGTTCTCAACCTATCTTCTTTTTTTTTGTCACCACATTGTTTGTTTTCAAGAATCAATGGTTGCATAGCTTTTTCAAATTTTCCTAAAAAGATAAGACGGACATCCTACAGAGTCAATGGAAAAGTTCACGATAATTAAGAATTGGACCACTTCCACTTTAGTAACTTTTTTAGAGCGGATATTTCTAATAATATAAAAATTTTACAATCATGCACTCGGTGTAAATATTTTCACGGAATCATATCTCACATTGTAGATGTTTGTGTAAAACATTTATACGCTGTCAATGAATGACTAATAAATTTACGATATAATATGCTAACTACACTTGGTTGTTTATTCAAGGTTCTCCGAATTCTAGAGGGAGACATGGTGATGGACACAAATTACATTTCAACTCCGGGCTATGATGTCGGAAATAGAAGTGGTCGCATTTGGTCAGAGCCACTGCAGAGACAGCATCATTACAGTGGTCCCCTCTTAGAAGATTCATTAGAGTCATCATTCAGTGGAAAGCTATCTCGTGACAAGTACAAACCTTTCTTTTGGGATAGGAGTAGGGACAAGCCTTAACAAGAGAACACAATCGAAGTTTTATACCGTGGCTAAAAGAACACATTTTTTCAGAATTTGCTAAAAATCCTGATTCAATTTCAGAAAGATTGAGATGGCTAGCAAATGGTCCAAATTCAAATGTTCTATCGTACTCTGGTTATATAATTAACAAGTATACATTTTATACAGAAGAACATGATCATCAAAGCACTGTGCAAAATAGCGGTGTCACACTCGTAGCTGAATCTGTGCATATCTCAAGTTCCAAAAATAGAAATCCCGCATTTTCCAAATTGTCATATTTTGGGGTCATTGAACGTATTTGGGAATTGGATTACTCATGCTTTCAAGTGCCCGTGTTTGGTTGCAAGTGGGTTGACAATAACAATGGCCTTCAAGTTGACCCTGGGTTCATGAAGGTCGATCTTAATAAAGTGGGTTGACAATAACAATGACCTTCTATATGTTATGATATTTGGAAACAATAGGATTTGGTAATTTAAAATGTTATTTGGTATTTGATGGATCATAATATATATGCAATGAGTAACTTAAAGCGTTATTTGTGTTGAATTGAATATAGTTATTTTATATTTACACCCAAAAAAATGATTGTGTAAGAAAAAATATTGTACTGTACTTATTAAAAATATTGTACCAAATATGTACCATTTATTAGCACTTTATTTGAAAGCGCTATCAAACATATGTTATATATTAGCGCTTTTTGTTTAGAGTGCTATAAAAAAACAAACAAAAAACATGCAAAATACTGACTTTGATAGCACTTTAATTAAAACGCTATTATAAATTGGTACTTTAATAGCGCTTTTAAAGTGCTATTAAATAAGAAATATTTACAATAGTGGCGCGGTTAATAGCACTTTTAAGCGCTATCAAAAATAAAAAAAAACGCTATTAAATAGCTTATTTGGCGTAGTGAATATTCATACCTATGTCAAGACTTGATAACTCCTTATCCATGATCTATGAGGTGTGATCATCAGTCTATATTCATAATAATCTCAATGCTTTAATGTTATCCCAATTTGAAATAAAGCTCGACTACGGATATTTTAAGAATAATATTCTTATGTTTAATGAAATCTCATGATTAAGTCACACTTAATATTTCATTAAACAAACGAACTATTATAGGGACTCTATTATTTTGGAAAAGCAAACATAATAAAAAAATGTCTTTTATTATTAATAAATAATTCGATACAAGTACCCAAAGTATTGATCTCTAGGACTTATACGAACACACCTTGCTCATGAAACATAATGGTTGTTCAATTTTATTCTTCTCATGGACGAAAAGTTGATCGTCAGATCAATGACTAATGAGTACATATAGAGGGATGCAATAGGATTTGGGAATGTCAACATGTGCAGCATCACCAAAAAGAACCTCAACTTAGTGAATGTCTCCTTGCACTCTTTTGTCCACTTGAACTTCTCATTCTTTTTTAAAGTGGCTAAAAAATGGAGCGTCTTGTCACCTGCACAAGAAAGAAAACAAGTTAGGAGGACTAGGCGCCCTGTTAGTTGTTGACCCTTCTTACTGGTAGAGGAGCTTCTCATATCGATGATAAATTATCTATTTATGATTAAAATACCAACGCTTGAATGTGCGATACCATATAGTTTTTTTACTATAGCAAATTTCAATCCTTAAATAATTTATTAATATATTATATTTAACTTCCTAAAAATCTTTAACTAATTTTAGTTATATCTCACATTTTAATGTTTTATCCGTCTATCTATGATTTTTGTCTCTGTTTTTTAAAGCCGGGTATACATCACTCACAAAATAAGAATCAAGAGTATGAGCAATCATGTTGAGGATTTATGATAAGTCAATATATTGTTTCCATGTAAATGAATGACATACACCATTCAAGTTAATTAAATTTGCGGACACAAACTACAATAATTAAATCAATTAAAAACAAAAAGTTTGCTAAGAGTATGTAGCTACAGTTGTTCGTCACATGTTCTAAAGCTTGAAATGGAGATGCAATTAATTTTGCAAGCAAAGGAGCAAAGCCTGCTGAACCTTGAAATCATACTAGTTGGCACCAAGGAACATTGTTTTTTAGTGTGCAAGCACTAGAGCATACACATCAATATCAATATCAAAGTGATCATGTGAGCGTTGACAACTCAACAACCTCTCAACTTCTTGTGCTTGTTCAGTCTCACATTGGAAGAACATAGTTTGTGTGAGCCAATTAAGTCACAATGTGGATGGTCTCCCCTATCAAATGAATTGTAAGAGTCTATGTAACATCAATACTTTGAATTAAAAACGTGTTTGATATTCAACATATGTCGGTATTTTCTGACACCAGCGTAATTATATCTTCGGTGTTAAAATTACATTTAAATGCAGAAATTATAAATATTAACTTTTAAAAAAATTAATTTCAAAAATAAAATTAATTTTATTTTAGAAAATCAAACACCTCAAAATTATTATAGAATTAATTTTAATTTTTTTAAAATGTCACACCGTCAATGTTAATGTCAAATCTTTTATCTATCTTTGACTTGATGTTTCATAAATTTGAATTTAAACATATAAATTAGTTTTAAAAAAAAAATATTTGAAAGAGAAAACATGAAATTCTTCTCAAATTCGTTCAAAAATTTGTGACTAAAAATTATAAAACATTTCAATCTTTCAATCAATAATTTTTATTTTTATTTACTTTGCTTAATAGGACAAATCTATGTAATACGTATAAAATGTTGGTTTAGAATTTAATTTATGACAATAATATCATTTATATTTTTGTATTAATGTAAACAATTTGAGAATGTATATATTTAAATTATAAAATAAAAAATAAGATCTATAATCTTCTGACTGTAATCAAGATCAGACAGTCATAGACACAGACGGTCATAGACATTGTAACTATGTGATCGTAGAAAAATATGTGAATTAAATTTCTTCATAATTGGCCAACCATATTATTATAATTAGTAGGGGCTAATTCAAATGATTCAGTTGAGGCTGTTCCCTTGGAACAACTTGAAAGATCAAAAGGCATATCCTCTAGTGACACAGGCCCCTTCCCTTCCAATCTAAACTTCCATACTGCAAAGAACATGACAGATATGTATCTACAAAAATTGAAACAACATATATATTCTGAGTAAAAGACCGAAAGATCATAATAGGTACAGGCAATAAAACAAAAATATATTATGCTGTTATATTTTTTATTGAACTATTAGATGAATCCAGGTAAGGTTATTATCAAGTGAAATAAAGAGGCAAAAAAATGTACGAAATGTGTCTTATATTGTTCTTGAAAATTCCCACTTTCTTGTTTTTTTTATATTTTATGTACCGTGTAGAAAAAGAATATGTAGCTTAACATGTGGTTTCCAAACAACAAAAAAACAACCTACTTTATTTATTTCCATAAATATAATTGCAAAGTAATTTCCAAAAACTTTAACATGATTGTTAGGCTAGTCTCATTTTTTAGTGGTTTATTGACGCTAATCATTTTTCTAAAAAGTTTTGCATAACCAAAATTAAACACATTAAATGAGATAGAGGGAGTAAGTTTTTGAAATAATTGAAGTTTTTGACCTCGGTGGCAAATTGTGAGACTGTTTTTTTAGTTTTTAAAATTAGGCTTTATTTAATAAAAAGTATTAGCCTAAGGCCTTAACTTAGCTATCTACTTCTCATTAATAGTTAGAGAAGTTAGTTTTGGCAATGATAAATTAGTTGGAGTTAATTAGGAGTTTGTTAGAACTCAACTAACTTCCAATTCTCCTATATATCGCATATTATACTAATAATAAATTATCAAGCTTTAATTATATTAACATGAATATGAGATTCTTAACAAGTTCATGGTGTCAAAGCATGTTGTTGTCGAAAAATTTAGTATTGTTGAAGTGTCGAAGTAGGTTGTCTCGACATGAATTTCGACTTAAGTATATTTTGTAGTGTTAGCAAATTAGGTATTTTAGACTTTTGTGTTTTGGGTTTTGATTTAGGAAACAAGCAAACATATAGCTATAAATGGGGAGTAACTCTTATTATTGTATAACACTTCTTGCAGTTGCAAATAATATTCATAGGTTGTGAGCATAGAGAAACTCTGCAGAAAATTCTTCTTCTCCTATTTTGTTCAAACCCTAATCTTCATCTTCCATTTATATTTTCTTTCTTCTCCATTGTTAATTGCTGTGCATAATCATCTTACAACCAAGGTTGATTTATTCACTCAAGTGAAGAGTGAAAACAAGAGGAATTTGATCAGATTGATTGAATATTGTTCATCAAGATTGATTCAGAATTTTCCATAGGTTTGACACAATTGCAACATTTGGTATCTAGAGCTATGGCTGAGTGATTTGAGGCAAGTAATAGCAATGACAGTGAATCATCTAAACAAACATTTTTCGACGAGTCTTCCAATTTTGAAGGGATTATGAGAAATGGTGTAAACAGATGAAGGTTGTTTTTTGTTATCAAGATCTTTGAGATCTTTTGAAAGAAGGTGTAACACCGCTTGAAGATTGTTGTACCCCAAAATTTGTCCTCTCATGTTTCCAAAGGTTTTTTTCTCTTATATGGGTGGTTACAAACACTTGCCTAAAGAAAATAAATTTTTTGAATGTTAGCAAAGTGCCTTTGATTGGTATCTAAACAGTGTCTTTCAATTGGCATAACAACAAGCTTCGACTGGGCTCCTAAAACCCTTCGACCAAGCATTGGCCCATCAGCGTCGATTGTGCGTTGGTTCCCTTTTGAACAAGCCTTGGTCCAAAGAATCCCCTACAAGTTTGCTTCGATTCACCGGCAGTGAACTCCTGCATACAAAATTCAATTGGGCGCTGAATCTCCTTCGATCATGCTTAATTCACAAAACTTCATCATACTTGCATTAGTTTCACAAGGAAAAGACCCATCAGCTTGCCTTTGATCTACAAGGCAAAAGACCTCTTTCACTGGTCTTCGATTCACAAGACAAAGGGAT